CAGGCTGGGAGAACTGGGAGCAGAGCCAGGGCATTTGCTGGGCAAACTGGGAGCAGATGAACACACTGAGATGGAGCCTCGACCTCCACTGTCCCCTGTGTTCTGCTCCTGAGCTCCTGTGCCTGGGAAATGGGGGACAGACCTGCCGAGGGAGCCTGGCCCAGGCAGAGGGTCAGGGCTGGGCCCCAAACCCAATAGCTGCACATTTTTGGGGTGTTCTGTGTGTCATTTTTATACTTCTTTTCTGTTACTTAAGCCCATTCTTAAATATAACCTTTACAGTGACTGGTTCCATAGGTTATGGATCTTTATTCCGAAGCAATCCCTGGTCAGTTCCACTGAGCTCTCCTGGTTGGAATCCGTGATACCCAAATCAGGAAGGGAAGGGTAAGGAGGGTTCCAAGCAGCATAAATGGTCCAGTAACTTCTTGGTGGGGTTTCTGTGGTTGCACACTTCCAACACAACACTCCCAACAACCCTACACACGGTGCTTTGCCATCTTCCACCTTTTAATCACAGCTACTTCTTCCCTATGATCCAACCTCGGTTATTTTATCAGACTGTTTGCGACAGTCCTGCCACACTGTCCGTCCACATTTGTCCCTGCTGCTGCATCCCCTTCCCAAATCCCAGCGAGCTAATTGATCCACCCAGCTAGTTAATTGATTTAGGGCTATTAGGGGCTCTCATTAAGGGGCCAGCTGGAGAGCTGTGTGTTATCTGCCCGGTGGGAGCAGCCTTGGGAAGCAGCCAGCTCCGACGGGCCCAGGGCTGCCCCGGCCCCACACCCAGCGCGGCTCGTCTGGATTCTTGGAAGGGTTTTACTCCCCCTCGCACTTCAGGTTTTCCCTTTCATCCCCTCCTTCGCTGGCGTTTGGGATCAGCGAGCTCAGCCGGAGCCTCCCTTCTCCGCCCTTATCTCAGCCCCTGCAAGGTCACGGCCCGTCTTCACCTCGTGCGGATGCAGGAATTTGCATTGCTGGGCGGACCAGTTCAGACCAGTTTGTTATCAGAGCGTCCCCAGACCTCCCCAGCCAGGCCTCGGAGCAGGGGAAGGTGATAAATGACCGGGGGCTGGGCGGGATGTCTGTACCTGGTACCAACACATCTGCCCGCTGCTAACGAGGTGCGGGAGCGTCACTGCCAGGGGGAATACAGGGAGATAAGGGGGAGGGGAGGCTGGGGGCGCCTGGCAGAGGTGTCCAGTGCCCGGCTGGCGCAGGAGGGGGTGAGTTGGATGGGCAGAGAGTTTGGGAGACCCTCTGAGCCTCGTCCCCAGGGCTGCTGGGGAGCGGTGATGCTGCAAGTGGGGCCCAAACCC